AGACAGATGCCAGAGAAAATGGGGGAGACATTATCTCAAGATGAGAAACCTACTATTGAAAATTGGAGTTGAAGAATGCACACATGCATTACACACCCGCTGCCATGGCTGACAGCCTGCTACAGATCTCCTACATAAGAATTCTGAGGTTCTCTGACTTGACTTTCAAAATCGCTCCACAAATCACTGGGAAATTTCACAGTATTTTAGAAACAGTGAGATTCTGACAGAATGTCAAGCATCAACTCTGTGTCTCCAGAGTCATGTCTCTCCCAATGACTCTTTGGCATGCTAGGAAAAGCACAGAGGTCCTTCTATAATTATAAACCAAACTTGCAGCTATTTGCCACAGTCCTGGGGCTAGAAACCTTTTCACCTTTTAAGTTTTCTTTTTTTCCCTTAGGAAAAAGAAAGTAAAAGAAAGAAGGAAGACAAAGCAAGAAGAAAGAGATAAGTATAAAACCATACCATTAGGACTAGCTTCTGTCCCTATTCAGTGACACCAGGTATCTCAGGTTGCCTTCTTTGGTCTAGCTCCTTCATTTAGCAGCCAGTAATGGAAAAGCTAAAGATTTTATTTTAAAATTTCATTTCCTTTCCCTCAGAGGGAGATAACCAAAGCTACTCTTTTCAGATGTTAAAGAAAAAAATTGATTTTTAAGATATAATACTTAGTCAATTTTACAAAATTGCTCCTTTATTGACCCCTGAAAACAGTGTTCTTCTTTATGCATGTGAGAAACAGGGTGTTATTCTGCCAGTGATATCTCCAGTCCTCTAAATGTACATAAATGTGATTAAACGATATTGTTTTGTCTTTGTTAGGATTATTTATTGGTAGAGAAATTTTGTTAACTAATTATACCACTGTGTATCAGTACTTTTAAATCCTAATGAATGACACATATGAACATCAAAAACATATCAATGAATATTTGTTAAATTAATAAATGAAATAGTATCCAAAAAAGCAACAGAAAACATCATTTAGACCCCCATCTGTCAAGGACTGAGCAGTTGGTTATGTGACCAGTCACCACTTGCTCCTTCAGCACGGCTGTTTTAATGAAAAAGAATAACATTAATTTATAGCTTTTGCTTCAGTTTGGTTCCAGGATTCCTCATTATTAAGGTCTTTTAGGAGGCAAAATTGTTAAAAAGCAATGCGGGGTGAAACAAATACATAATGGTCAAATGGCTATGCGGCTGAAAAATCCTTCTGATCCCAAGAAATGTTCACATAATGAGCTCAGTTGGTGAGTTTCAAATTATAATGAAGAGCAGGCAGCATCTGAAGCCCTAAAGGTTGTGTGTGTGTGTGTATGTGTGTGTGTGTCTACAATGACTTCTGCATCACACTGTATGAAAACACATGCTTCAAAGAAGCTGGCTGAATGTTTTATGTTCACTATATGCTCATTAGTCATTGCTCTCATTTCTCCTGTTTACTTCTTCTATTTCTTCTTCTTCTTTTTTTCTTTCTGATCTTAAGGATGCAATTAAAATCACAGTGCCCTGTGGCTTCTGCTAGAGAGATAAACAGTACCTGACCCCATGTGATCTGCTTGCTGCATGAATAGAGATCAAGATTTCATCTTCCAGCAACTCGGTTTTGGATGGTTGCTAAGGAAACTATTGGCATCTCTGTGTCCTCAGTACCCTATTGCTTGGAAAGAATTACAGCAGTTTTGCCTGTTACTTTCCCAGAGAGAAAACCTGAAAACTCATTAGCAGAGCCAGCATTTTGAGATTCCACTGGTCTCTTTAGTGCTTTGAGTGCCCTGGCCTTGGAGTGTAACTTGTAAGCACGTTGGCGTCTAAATGAGTTTGCATTCAGAACTGACAGGGCGGCTTTGTTACAGAAAAGAGAAGTGTGAGTGGTCAGGCTCCAGGTACCATATTCTGTGACCCTGCATGTGGCACCGGCCCTGTTTTGTTATTTATTTCCTTGTTTTGTTTTTATCAGAGCTGCCCAACTCCTAAAGGTCAAAGTCAGGACACCGAGATTGAATCCCAGCCTTGTTTCTATCAAGCTGTATGATCCTGGGCAAATACCCTCACTAATCTTCAGGTTTCTTATCCTAAAAGCAGAAAAGTAGTAGTGCTTTATAAGTTGTTTCTGAGAATTAAAGAAGGTAATGAAAACATGTTGTCAAAAGCTGCTTGTAAATTGCAAAGAGGGTGTTAGGTACTGTTCCATGTGTTGCTCCTCCGGGGTATAGACTTTAAGGAAGTTAGCCACCAGAATAGGAAGGAAGAAGCCCCTGGGATCAACACTCCTGCAAGGAAGAAGAAAGTGAATGGATGCAGCAGCCTCAGCCAACCCTACAGTGAGCTCTGAAGCTAGAATGGCCCTTCAGAATTGTCTTGGATGGAACAGATCTTTTTCTTTCTCCTTTGTTATGGCTCCCCGTAATTATTACCTTTCCCCTCCCCCAATGTAATGGTGTTTAGAAAGGCTGCCTTCAAGAGGTAATTAGTTTAGATAAAGTCATGACATTGGGACCATAATAGGATTCGTGTCCTTATAAGAAGAGGAAGGAAACTTGCTTTCTGTCTTTCCACCGGGTGAAGACACAGTGAGAAGGTGGCTGTCTGTAAGCCAGGAAGAGAGCCCTCGCCAAGAATCCATCATAATGGCGCCCTGATCTGGGGCTTCAGCCTCCAGAACTGTGAGAAAATGAGTGTCTGTTGTTTAAGCCTCTCGTCTGTCGCATTTCATTTTAACAGTCCAATCTAAGATACCTTCCATCAGTCAATTATTGAATATGTGCTGCCCTAGAAAGGGGCATGGCCTCGTCTAGCTCAGAAAGGACTGATCAATGGAAGGTTGTCTATGGGGAACACACCACAATATGCATCCCAACCACTGTTACTATTTCTTAGTCCTCCCTTATATATATATATATATATATAAAGTCTCATTCTGTACAGCTATTCTATGTTAGGCATAAGTTTTAAGCTCATTACTGACTTCACATTTCACTAGTATTTCTTACCACTGTCTGGCTGTATTCTCCTCTCCTTTAGCACAGAGGCCTTCAAACTATGCTTCTTAATTGACTTTGCATTGCAAGACACACAGAGCTACACCCCCTATCTGCTAATCATGATGGCTCTTTGCACTGGAGAATTATTCCAGGAAAATGGTGAGTGATGCTTCTTCCTCTATCACCTCTATTCCATGTGGAGTTTAATTCTTTCAACTCCTGGAAGCAACTCACTGTAACAAAAACAAGTGAGTTTAAGCAGGTGAGTACCATGGTAAGATGTGCATTTTAGAAAGGTTTCTCATACTTAGATGTGAATTGGTGGGCAAAACAAGGGACAGGAAAGTTATTGAAGGACTTCCAGTTGAGTCTGGTAGATTAGCTGCACATTTATTTCCTTTTCCTCTAAATTCCCACTGGGAGGATTCCACATATATAAAAAAGGAAAAAGGAAATAGTGGAGGAGAGAAGCGATGATGAAAGAGCTCAGCACCATTTTAGAAATGGAAGGGTGTAAGGTTGGTGTGGCAGATCATGCGTGTAGTCCCAACACTTGGATGGTTGAGGCAGAAAGATCAGTCAAAGCCCATATGTTAAAGAACCAGCCTGGGAGTTGGGGGTTAAATATGAAGTGTCTCCCCACAGGCTCATGGGTTGAATGCTTGGTCCCCAGATGGTATCTCTAGTTTGGGAGATGGTTAGAAACTTCAGGAAGTAGGGCCTGGCTAGAGGAAGTAGGTCACTGGGGAGTACCTTTGAAGGTTATCTCTAGCCTGTGGCTCTTGTTACTTTCTCTCTCTGTGTCTTTCTGTTCACAATGAAGTGACTAGCTTCTGCAATGTCCTCCCACACATGATGTTCTGCCTCACCATGGACCCAGAATTAATGGAACCAAGAACCATGAGCCAAAATAAATAATTCCTTTTTATAAGCTGTTTATGTCAGGTACTCTGTCTTAGCAACAAGGAAAGCTAACCAACTGAGCAACATAGTAAGATGCTGTTTTAAAAAAAAATACAAAACAAAAAAATACAAGAGTGGGAAATGACTCATCAGTGGAAGGTGCAGTTTAAGTGCCTGGGGAAGGAGAATTCTACATCAGTTAGAGGAAATGTTCAGGGGAAAGAAATGGAATATATAACAAGCAGAAGTTTCAGGACATCCAGATTTATTTTTCTTGTATCCCAAGAGGTCCAGTGGAAAATGACTGCTGGCATTAGTCCAATCGCTCACCTATGCCAGATTCCTTAGTTTGTTGACTTTTGCTTGCTTCCAGGCCACAGGTTGGTCCCTGTAACTCCAGGTATCACATCTGCATTGAAGAAAGAATAAGCACAGGGAAACCTTATGGCAGGCATCTGTCCCTTTTTGTTGGGAACACAAACACATTACCACTCAGGGAACAAAAGTGGTTAGGTATGTTCTCTTGTGCCTCAGAAAGTAAGTACCACACCTGCGTGGGATACCTGGCTATTTTTTGGCTGTGCTAGAGTTTGAACTCAGGGCTTACGTGCTTGTTGGGCAGTGCGATACTACTTGAGCCAGGCCTTTTTGCTCTGATTATTTTTGAGATAGGGTCTTGTTTTTTGCCTGCCTATTTTAGGCTTCTCCACCTTAATTGGGATGACAGGCACATGCCACCATGCCGAGAGATCCTCCTGATCTCAGCCTTCCAAGTAGCTAGGATTATAAGCATGAGTCACCAGCACTGACTGGCTGGACCTGGCTATGTTAAAAATAACAGATATCCTGTGAGCAAGGAAGAAGCAGGCACCTGATGTAGTAGGTATCTGACAGAGACCTGAAAGGTTTTAGGTATTGGGGAAGGGAAGGAGTACCAGCAGGCTGAAATCCTTGCAATTTGTTACAAACCTATTGCCAAACCAGCTGGACACCGCAAACCCTATGATGTTCATCCTTCCAGCTCAATCTTGCTTCTTCCCTCACTATATGGAAGCAAAAAGTATCTTCTAGAGAAATCGAAAGAGAAGAGGATCTGGATGAGGGGATATGGGCTCTGCAGAGGCAGAAGTGAAGATTCCGACTAAAATGAGGGAGTTTGCTTATGGAACAGGAACATCCCAAGAAGACTGCCCAGCTCCTAACATCCCAGCAGCCATGTTTGCTGTCCAGGTAGGAGCCTGAAGGTCCCTTCTGGAGAAACGAAACATCCCCAGAGAACAGACCTGTTGACACTCACTGCCTGTCACTGTCATTTTTATGTTTTAAACATTAATGAAAAAGAAAGGTTGTTGTTTGACCAAAGGCTTAAGATTTGAGCAGCCAAATCATGTCCTGTTTTGCACTATGCAGTTGCAAAATAGGCTATTTAGATTGTACTCTGAAGAAGACTCAGAACGAGCATTCTGGGAAAAGCACTAGAGTTGAAATCAAGCCCCTTCTGGACCAATCATTGTAAAATCCCTGATGTTACAGCCGTAACAGGGACCTGACCGGCTGGGTGGAGGACTGAAAATCACCCCGCAAGAGCTTCCCAGGGAAGCTGGTCGACCTCATTAACCTGAATGCCTGTCTGAAAGTAAACGCTACTTCTTGGGGTTAAATAATTAAAATGTAATCCTAGCAAGAAATACAAATAAGATAGGCAGTAGCTATGGAGAAGGATAAATAAGCATAGGTGAATAAATACTGATACAATGGAAAAGTCTACTTAAATTCAAACAGAAATATTTTTTCATCATTTAATATGAGTATTCTGGTCAGTTTTATAATCATTGAGCTATATAAAGGTTTTCTTGCTTTTGAAGTAATTTCTGCATTAAAAGGAAGCTAGGGCTTTATAGTTGTAAGGAATTTAATTGATTAGATTATAATTCATGTTTGTTTGGAGAAAACTCATTTGTAAAATTATGACTGACTTACTAGCTGTGTAAGTAGTTTATGAATATTTAAATTAACATTAATTGTTTAGATATAAGTAAATTTAGATTAGGCAAGGTACAAATAACAGTGAGTATTTCTTTTCAAGAGGAAAACCAGAACCAGAGTCAGGTAAACATAGTTAAATCAATGTGCACATTTGCACCCATGGAGAACCTAATTAGCATTTTTGTGGGGGGCGGGTAAGGTGGGGGGACTGGGGTTTGAACCCAGGACTTCACACTTGCAAAGCAAGTGCTCTACCACTTGAGCCATACCTCTAGTCCATTTTGCTCTGATAATTTTGCTTCAAAGGTCTCTCAAGCTGTTTGCCCAGGCTGGCCTCGAACTGCTATCCTTCTGATCTCAGCCTCCTAACTAGCTAGGACTACAGGTATGAGCCACAGGTGCCCAGCCTTTTTTTTTTTTTTTTAAATCTCTTCATTGAAATATGAAAAACGTGCAATAAGTTGCACACATTTAAATTATACAATATAAGTTTTGTTTATGTATACACTTGTAAAACAACACCACAATCAAGATAATGAATATTTCCATTACCCTGAAATGTTTTCTCTGATTCCTTGATCCAGTTCTCCCTTCCTTACCCTAGGGACCAGGCAAAATTAGTGTTTTCTTTCCTGGAGATTTAATGTATTGTCTAGAATTTTATGTAAATGAAATCACACAATATGTGTTTTTGTTTTGCTTCGTTTAACCACTGCACTTATTTTGAATTTTATCCCACTTGCCAATAATTTGTTCTTTTATGTTGCTGAATATTCCATTATATGGATATATCACAATTTGTTTATCTGTTCATGACCTTATGGACATTTGGGATATTAGAAATAAGGTGCTATTAACATTTGTGTACAGTTTCATGTGACCCAATCCATTCATTTCTCTGGGATAAACACTGGGGATTTGAATGGCTGGTTATCTAGTGTGTACAGTATATATGTAACTTAAATTGCCAAACTGTTTTCCAAAGTAGTTGGTTCAATTTTTTTTTGTATTCCTACTAGCATTGTATAAGAGTTCTAATTATGCTGAGCACCAGTGGCTCACACCTGTAATCCTAGCTACTTGGGAGGCTGAGATCAGGAGATCTGAGACCAGCCCAGGCAAACAGTTTACAAGATCCCATCTCTAAAATAATCAAAATGGACTGGAGGAGTGACTCAAGTGGTAGAGCACTGTTTTGTGAGCATCAACTCCTGATTTGCAAGTGTGCAGCCCTGAGTTCAAACCCCAGTCCACAAAAATTTTTATATGCTTAAATTTAGCTCCATGGTCCAAAAATTACCCATGAGTATTGAGTTCTTCCATGTATTCCTATTGCCCAGCTCAGGGTTTCAAAGAATATTGGTTGAAGCCAGGTGCCTATGACTCACATCTGTAATCCTAGCTACTCAAGAGGCAGAGATCAGGAGGATCATGGTTTGAGGCCAGCCCAGGCAAAAAGCAAGACCTTATCTCAAGAATAGCCAATTCAAATAAGGGTTGGCAGAATGGTTTGAGTGGTAGAGCACCTGCCTAGCAAGCACAAGGCCTTGTATTCAAACCCCAGTACTGAAAAAAAAAAAAGAGTTCCAAAGTTCCAATCCTTGCAACCCTTCATATGATCAGTTTTTGTACTCTAAGCCACTCTTGTGGGTGTGTAAAAATATTTCATTATGATTTTAATTTGCATTGTTCTAATGACTAATGATGTGGAATATATTTTTGTTACTTATATGCTATCCATATATCTTCTCTTGTGAAGTGCTTATTCAGATATTTTGCCCATTTTTGTTTGGGTTATCTTGCAGTATGTCTTGCATTCTTGATATATTCTAGATATGAATCTTTTGTCATGTATGTGCTCTGTGAATACTATTTCTGTCTGTAGCTCACTTTCTTACTTTCTTTACAGTGTCTTTTGAAGAGCAAATGTTTTTAGTTTTTATGAAATCCAATTCATCAAAACTTTATCTTATAATTCATGCTTTGCTCAAGAAATATGTGCCTACATTGGGTAATTAAGAGTTCTCTTGTTTTCTTTTATAAGCTTTTAATTCTAACTCTTACATCAGGATTGTGGGTGATTTTTGGTTGATTTTTATTGGTGATTTTAGATAAGGGTAAAGGTTCATTTTTGTTTGTTTCGTGTTGCATGTAGTAATTCCACTGTTCTATCATCGTTACTCTAGCGTCTTCCCTCAAATCGTCCTGACACCTTTGACAAAAATAATTGACTATGTCATATATGACCAATGTTTCTATTCTGAACCACTGATCTATATGTTTAGCTTTACCTCACTGTCTTGGTGGCTGCAGTTTAAGTCTTAAAAATCAAATAGCAAAAGTCCTCTCGCTTTGTTTTTCTTTCATAAAATTGCTTTGGCTATTCTAGGTTCTTTGCATTTCCTGATGAATTTTAGAAATAGCTTGTCCTGCAAAACATCTTCATTAGGATGACATTGTCTCTAAAGATCAATTTTCAAGGAATGACCTTCTTGATAACATTTAGTCTTCTAATCAATGAGCATAACATATCTCTCCACCTACTTATTTCTTTGATTTTTTTCTCTCCAGTGTTTAAGTATACAGATCTTCACATACTTTGATAAGTATTTCATATTTAAAAAATTTTTTATTATCATATTGTTGTTCTTGTATTGGGGTACATTGTGACATTTACAAAAGTGCTTACAATATATCTTAGTTAAATTCACCCACTCCATCATTCTCCTTTAGTCCCTCTCCCATCATTCTTATAATAGTTTCAACAGGGTATCATTCTTCTATCTTCATATTATGAGTACATAATAATATTTCATATTTGTGATGCAACTATATATGGTATTGTATTTCAATTTCTTCTTTTTTTTTTCTTGATATTACTGGGGTTTGAACTCAGGACCTCATGCTTGCTATGCAGGCACTCTTACTGCTTGAGCCACTCCACCAGCCCCCCCTTTTTTTGTGTGATAGAATTTTTTGAGATAGCATCTCAAGAACTATTTGCCTGGCTCCCAACTGCAATCCTCCTGATCTCTGCCTCCTGAGTAGCTAGGATTATGGCGTGAGCCACTGGCACCTGGCTATATTTCAGTTTCTGATTATAGCTCACACATGTTTTTTCAATATTGGTTTTGTATCCTGCAATGCTGCTAAATCGAATAATCTGGAATACTTGTAGCACTTCCTTTTTTTTTATTTCCTGTTTTCAGGGACTATTGTCTAGTGCTACCTAATGCTGAGTGTCTGAAAAACCATTGTTTTATATATTTCTCAGCTTTCTGGTTTGTTTTAATAGAAGAGAATATCTGATCACTGTCAGTTCATTGTCATCTGAAGCAGAGGCAATGAAACTTTTAGTGACTCATTCTTTAATGTAAATGAACAGCTATACTTCATTAAATGTTTGGCTCAGGTCTCCAACATGAAAGACAAAGCTAGCCAAGCATGGTGGTGCTATTATAATCCCAGAAGTAGGGAGGCTAAAGCAGGAGGATTGCAAGTTTGAATCCAGCATGAGCTACAAAGAGAGACTATGTCTCAAAAAGTCATTTATTTATTTGTTTGGTTGGTTGTATTGTGGTGTTGTGCCAGGGAGGAATAGGATCTTATGTATACTAAACACTCACTCACTTTACCCCTGAACTACTGTTCTAGCCTCCCTCTTTTTCAGGACTGGGTTTGATCTCAGGGTCTCATGCTTACTGGGCAGGTGTACTGTCACTTGAGGTCTCTGCCAGCCCAATTTTCAGTTTCTGAAGCTCTAATAGAGATTTCTTCACATTTTAGGAAGCCAAATTTTAATTTTACAGTACCATTCAAATTTTGCTATTTCAAAATTTTACCAAAAACCCCAAACCCTCAAAAATCACAGGGACCATGACTATCATTTATAATTCAGGCATAATAAAGAAGAGAAAAAGTATGAAACAGAGAAGAATGCGATGGAGAAAACAGAAGTATCCAAAACACGTTTTGTTTGTACTAGTTGAATGAATTATACCATCCACTGAAAAAATGTCTACTTGCAGCATTTAAGTACAAAATTTTCTCAAGTGATTATGCAAACTTGCAAGTGCATGGAAAAATATTAGAAATGGAAGAACACAAATCACCATTACAGTCTTAAGTCTCCTTCTGAAAATATGCAGAAAGCATTTTCAAGCAGTGCACAGAGTTTCAATTTGTAAGATTGCTACTATGAAATTGCATTATCATGAGCTACTGGTAACCAAGACCAGGAGCTA